GACGAAGTTGAAGACACCAGGTACGTATCACGACCCCAACCACAGTCCTGAATCCTCCTTCCGAGTACTTGTCAAGCAGAACAGCAATACAGGCGCATAGCGCCTTCCACCTCAGCAGCGGTCCTACATGACAGCAGCCACGAAGTTGACACGTGGCATCTGCCACGTCAACAACCCTTAAGACAGTAGTGCGCCAGCCAGCATGCTGGGCGCACAGCACGCTCAAGCCACGAACCAGCGATGAGCGCCGGTTGTCAAGTCCTCCCAGCAGCGTCTCGCCAGCAAGACAGCATAGAGCCGGTGTTGACGCAAGAGCGTCGAGTCAGCATAGACTCCAGACGAGAGTCCAGATCTCAAAGCCAGGAAGTCAGCTCAATATGTAGTGTTGACGGCGGGGTCTGGACCCCAGTCCTCAAGTCAGACACGGCCGAGATCGATTGTCGTCGATGGCCTGAATTGAGTTGAAACTGTATCCTCCTTGGTCCACCGTTCTGACTGTGTACCTGCACACATACAAGTCAATGCACACGACCAAGGGCCTGGGCGAGGTACCAGGACCTACAGTTGACTTCGACCTTTGAATTTCTTGTTGTGCGTGGTCACACAGCACCCGCAGCGGCCTGAGGCCGAGCAGCACGTGGTCGCACTGCTCGCTGGGCCTGGGCTTGGGTTACAGCGCCCAGGCCGCTGCTGAACGCGGTTTACTGCATTCCTGCCGGCCCGAATTCGAGTTCCACCGCAGAAATACTTAAGACTTCAGTCCGCGTTCATAGATAGCAACAATATCAGGAGCAGTATCCATCAGTTCCCGTCTGCTAAACCAACGGTCTTCAAAGGCAGCTTGGAACTGGAATCTCACTTTATACTGCTTCTGAGGTCTGCCTCTTCCACCAGTAGAAAAGAATCCATGGTCAGTAATTTTCTCAACCACATAGCTGCCATTYATAGACGGAGGTATAGCAGATGGTCGGTGAGGAAATTCTGTTCCTTCTACATATGGAAGCAGTTTAGACGCGTGAAAGACGGGGTATGTCCGAAGATGAGGGGGAATGTCAATCTGGTATGATGGTCCATCGGCATCCCCTATCACCTTGAGAACTTCCCAGGGTCCTAGATAGACAGGCATCAGTTTCTGAGAAACATCTTCTTCTAGAGTGAACTCTTTGGACTTAACCCAGACCAAGTCACCAACTTGAAAGGTAGACGGGCGTCGGTGTTTGTTAGCTTGTTCAATCATGCGCTCTTGGGTTTTCCTCAGATTCTCCTTCACCTTTTTTATGTCTTCTTGAAACATAATGGCATATTCCTTTGTCCCTGGTGGAAGTCTAAGAAATTGATCCCTGGTGAAAACATCAATGGGACGCTTAGGCTTCCAACCCTTGTGCAGTGCGTTAGGTGTGCGTCCCGTTGCGGTATGCACACTATTGTTATATGCACCGGCAATCTTGGGTAAGTTCTCATCCCAGTCTATTTGGTCAGGACGGACATACATTCTCAGAAGTTGTTGGACCATACGGTTCATTTGCTCAGACTGGCCATTCGTTTCAGGGTGTCTGCCTGACGACATGGTGAGTCGTGTACCGTAGGCCTCCATCAGATTCTGCCAAGGCATGCTTGTGAACCTAACATCGCGGTCAGATACGATAGACATGGGAAACCCATACTCAGTTACCCATCGCATCTGAAATTTAGCAATCACAAGCTCAGTCTTGGCCTCTGTAGGCAAGGGTATGAACATGGCATATTTAGAGAAACGGTCAACCACAACCATAACTTGACTATTGCCATTTCGGGACTTGGTGAGTTTCATGAAGTCTATGGACACAGACTCACCTGGCTCAGTCCGAATAGGTAGTGGTCGGAGTAAACCCAAAGGGTTTTCATGAGACGGTTTGTTTCTCTGACATACTTGGCACGTACGAACATACGTTAGTACATCCTCTTTTAAACCCTTCCATTCATAGTGCTCACGCACCTCAACATACGTCTTCTTGAAACCAAAGTGTCCCTCTGTGTCATGACGTTCCCCAATCAATAGACTTAAGTTCTTCCTTGTGAGGAATGCACAATCTCTGTTCCGTCTGGTCCAAAAAGAAGAGTAAGCCATCAGACAATCGATAGTGAGGAAGTTGGGATGGGTCCTTGGCTAGGATATCCATGATTGGTTTCCAGACAGGGTCAGTGGCATATCCAACGCGAATCTGATCTTTCACATCATTCCCAACATCCAGGTAAGAGACTATAGCCCCAAAGAAATCACTCCTCCTAGATAGTGCGTCTGCTACAACATTAGACTTACCTTTAATAGTTTTGAGTTCGAAATCAAAGGTATAAATAAAAGCAGACCAACGTACCAACTTGTCAGACAATCGAGGCTGTGTCTTGATCCACTTGAGGGTCGAGTGGTCCGAGTACACAGTAAAATGTATGCCAAGGAGATAGTGTTTCCATGTTTCTAGGGCGCAAACTAATGCATACAACTCCCTTTCGTAGGTGGAGTTGGCGACCTTTTCGCACGGCAGACGTTTAGACATAAACTCAACAGGGCGGTAGCCCTTGCCGTCGTCTTGTTGAAAGACAACGCCAACACCGTATTGACTTGCGTCAGTTGTGACGATGAAAGGAAGAGACGGGTCGATAATCTTAAGAACAGGATAGTGGGTCAAAGCGTGTTTCATCTTTCGAAAGGATAACTCACAATCCTTGTCCCACAGCCGGATAGTACCTTTCTTGAGCAATCTTCTCATTGGAGCAGCGATAACTGAGAAGTTCCTAACGAACTTCCTATAGTAACTTGCTAATCCAAGGAAAGATCGCAGGTCTGTCAGAGTCTTCGGCTGTGGCCAATCTCTGATCGCCGAGATCTTCTTTTCCTCGGGCCTCAATCCCTCCTCGTTCACTATATGTCCCAAGTACAGGACCTCAGACTTAGCGAACTCGGATTTCTTTGGGTTGAGTTTGAAGTTACCTTCGCGTAACTTCCCGAGTACTAGACGAAGGTGTCGATGATGATCTTCTAGTGTTTTACTATACACTAGAATGTCATCCAAATAGACGATGACGAAGTCGTCGAGCCATTGCCTGAATAACTCGTTCATTGACCTTTGGAAGGTCGCAGGTGCGTTCGTTAGACCAAACGACATCACGATGTACTCGTAATGACCATATCTCGTACGAAACGCGGTCTTATGTTGATCGACGGGATCCACCTCGGTCTGGTGGTACCCAGACTTAAGGTCGATCTTACTAAAAACCTTACAACCCTGCAACTGATCCAAGAGATCGTCGATCCTTAGCAAAGGTTCGGCATTTTTGACGGTGATGGCATTTAGCCCTCTATAATCGATGCAAAGACGCAGCTCACCTTCATTTTTGGGCACAAATAAGACAGGTGCACCATAAGGAGAGGAGCTAGGGCGAATCCATCCCTAATCCGTCAACTCAGACAATTGTTTCTTAAGTTCCTCAAGTTCCCTTGGAGACATGCGATGAATAGGACCCTTGGGAACTTTGCTACCGGGCACAATCTCGATCGTGTGCTTGATAGCACGCGAAGTAACCCCGGTTGGTTCAGACAGAACATCGGCAAACTCCGTTAGGAGTGCATCTATGCGAGGAGGATGGGTAGTTGAAGACTCACCTACTTTCTTAACTAACAACATTACTACCTCATCCTCTAACTTCTTCTTTGCAACCATTGATCGGAATGCAGGGTAGCTCATGCAACAGAAAGACAAGACAGAGTCAGACCCTGACCAATGATACAACTTAATCGGTTGCAACTCAGACGATTCATCCTTAATTCTTACTTCTTTCTTTTTTAAATCAATCTTGGGATCAGCTTCCTCGTGCCAATCCATTCCCAGGATGATATCAAACGGCATATTTTTCTCGATCAGGAAGGGAAGCTCATGCCAAATCTTCTTCCCATCCTTGGTACTGAACTGACAACACAATCGACGTACTGCGTTACCGTCATCGTGCTTTTGCCAGCCGGAATAGACGTGATTGGTTTAGACAAAGTTTGGATCTTCATGCCGAGGTGCAACTTAAGGATTGCATGTTCGGACACGTAAGATCGGGTGGACCCAGGGTCCAACATCGCACCAATGCGTGTGCGATTGACTACCAAGTCAGCAATCAACAACTCACCCTTAGACTTGGCTTTCTTAGCCCACGAACTGCGTAACGCGACTAACTCGCTACCAAGCTCGGCAAGGAGTCGTCCAGAGACAAGCATAAGATAGGAGTAGGGTGGTCTGGACGACGGCGGAAGGTTTTCCATCCTCTGCCACGGGAGTCAAAGTGTGGAAAGGGATCGTAGGCGCCTCGCATGTGATCGCACCCTCCGACTCTGTAGGAACAGATGTTATTCCTACTGGCTGCTCCCTTTTGAGTTCCTAATCAACGGACAAAAGGCAATGACATGCCCCGCAGTGCCACACTTGAGGCACTGCGCATTATCCATTCTATCTTGCCACACCTCCCRGGTTAGTCCCATCTYCAGCCACGGTCTGTCGGCCGCAATCCCAGGATGGTATGGGAAGGAGCGTGGTCTTCCCTTCGGTCGAGTGTTCGATGACGGTCCTCCCTTGTTGACCGTYGCAGCGGTAACCTYCCCCTTTCYGGGRTCACTRCTGYTGTCACCARCACCCTCGTTCTCCAATGRCCATTTCTCCATTGTATCGTCGTCGAATACGACGAGGGTGTGGTCTTGGCGCTTTTGACGCCATATGACCCGCTTGCCGTAGCCTCCCCGACTGCTTCCTCCTCCATTCTTTACGGCAACAGCATAGGAACCTTTGATTTGCGAAGTCATTTGTTCCCGCTGCAATGCCAGGTCGCGAAATTGACGGTAACTATACTTACCGGACTTGGTCTCGGCGACCAAGTGCCCCTATATAGGTTCGGGCAATGCACGCGAGTAAATGTAAAGGACCTGAGAGTCCTGCAGGTTAAGACCGGGAACCTGCAACAGTCGGTCAACCTCACGAGACAATGACTCAACTGAAGACCAGGACTTTTGTCCTATCGTGGTGAGTTGGTCGAAGGCCTTATCGTCCGTAGTCTTGTCCAAAAAGCGGTCCTTGACTTTTGCAAGGAACTGCTTCAAGGTCATAGTCTTCGCCCACTCACCTATATCGTCAAACCCCGCAGCATTTGCTTTCGCCAGAACCCATTGCTTCACCTCACCCCCCATACAAGAAGTGGCGAACGCAACTTGCGACTCTTCTTCTACCGGTGCGGTCCCAACATAGGTCTGGATCTCTGCGATCCAGAGTGGAAGGCTTTCTTCTTTCTTATTAGAAAAAGTAAAAGGCAATTTCATCTTCACCCTTTCTTTTTTTTCTGGCTTAGTCGGATCTGTGGGTTTGGCATTGTCCTTAGGAGAGGGAGTGGGACCGGAGGGACCACCATTCCCATTGCCATTCCCGTTCCCATTCCCATCTCCATTGCCATTCCCATCAGGTTTCTTCTCTTCTGGTTTCTTCTCGATTTCTTTTACCATTTCCTTCTTCGTTGTGTCACCGCTTTTCGTTCCACCAAGAAGCAACTTCTCGAGCTTGACGTCCCTCTTTTCTTTCTTTATCTTCTTTCTCTTCATCATTTTCAAGCACAGGGGCTTTTCCCTTGACAATGCTAGTAATGACATGAAGGCCAACAACAAGTTCATCCATTCTGGATTGCTGTTGGTCCAATTTTTCTTCAAGAAAAGCCAAATACGTCAATATTTGTCCGAGCGTCTGAGCAACATCTTTTTCATCTAAGGAAACGTACTGCTGTACTCTACCCATTCTCTGCTGTAGTCTAGTTTCCTGTTCTTTCTTTTGCAACAGTTCTTCTCGCTTTTTCTCTTCTTTTGCGAGTCTCTTTCAACTGTTGTATGTTCTCTTCAATGCTTTCCACCTTCACTTCTGGCACACCATCCTTTTGCTGAGCTATTTCTTCCAACTGCTGGATGGTAAATTGGTCTAGTATCTCACAACACTGGCCAATAACCTTCTGGATTTCAGTCGCTGCTGCTATCATCTCCACACCCGTGATAGCTTTGGCCAAACGATCAGAGATCGCATTAAGGTCAAATTTACCCCGGATGTGTTCTCTTGCAGCAGGGACAGCAAACTCCATATCCACCAGCAGTTGGGAGAGGAGCTCTCCCAATTCACTTCTTTGTGCCTCGATCTGGGCACGTGTACGCGGCTCACTAGAAGAGCTACCCGCTCCCACCGCATAAGGCACATGCCCAAGACCGAACAGATGAGGCACCCACCTGGTCAGCAGGGACTGACGCATGTGTTGAACAATCGGTGCCATGATTAACGTCAACAGGAAACTTAACAGGCCAATCCTTTCTCAAATAAAAATGAAACAGACAATATTATCTGACGGCTGGACAGCCACTCAGTCGTCAGTACAACAGAGGATTCACAGGAAAATAAATAAATAAAAATAATTAATTATTCTCTTGATTGATGTCTTTTCTATAAGTTGTTCTAATTTTGTTTTCTCTCTTATTCGTGTGACGACTACTCTTCCAGGTAATCGAGCAGGCCAAGATCGTTAGCATTCACAGGTACGTGTGCACGCACAGCCAGACAACAGGTAAGTACTGACAACACAACCAATCAACGTCAGTCTTCCCCACAATGCCATGTCAGCATGCACTCTAATCACCCCGACAGCAAACAAGCACCACAAGCCAAAGTCTGCTGCTCGTGCCGCTCCCAGCGTCGGAATGCATCACTCGTTTCCCAAGGCACGGCGTGCCTGCTTCGGCCAAACCCCCCGGTATGCCAACTCGGCTTTCGCCAAGTCAGCACTTCGAACCAATCAAAGATCGTGGGGGTGGCCTCAGCAATGAATGCTGGCCGCTCTTTCTCTTGTTACCCGGATCCGTTAGTGAAGGTGAACTCCCACAATGCTGCGCTTCACAAGTCTGCTCGCCGCATCCCAAGTCCAATCAAAGCCTGCCACGTCAGCGCTTGATCTCGCCAATGCCAGCGAGTACTCAATTAGCCAATCAATTGGCTCCACTCGTCTCTGGCTGGCGAAATAGCAATGCGGTAACTCTTTTTCGTCGGCGAGATATCATCAGCACATGACAAGAAGTTCCCACTCAATATTTCACGTGGACGTGGAAGTGCCACGTCAGCATCAGAATCCAATGGCAGTCAATATACTGCCCGTCATCACCATATCCTTCGCGCGCGTCGTCTCGATAGAGAGCATCCCGATACTCACTTACCTGCGCGCGCGAACGTGGAGAGAAAACAGCGCGCTCGTTATCAATCGCGTCGGAGAGACGTGAGCGCCGTAGTAGACAATGTCGGAAGTAGAGCTCCGATACCAAATTGCAATGTGCCCAGTCGTGATAATCAGTCGTCACTCGCAAAGACAAGTAAACGAACGCTGCTGATAAATCATGATAATAATGATCCCAAAAYGAGRGAGAATRCATACACAGACGAGAGAGGGAGGAGGGAGAATAGACTTTGAGAGGGTGGAAGAGTCTCCTCCCTACAGCCCACTTCCTCTTCGGGCACTTCCTCCTCCTAGTA